TTGTTTTTGACATACGTTTTTTCTATTTATTTGCCGTAAAATCATTTGGAAGACTATAAATTCTCATTTAGTTGACTGACAAATTTCTATAAATTTTAACCAATACTTCAAAAAATCCATGAGCCGCCGATGATCGTCGTAGACATCTTTAATTTTAGAAAACACTTGGGGCCAATTTTTATACTTTTCAAATATTAATTACATTTTTTTGGCTATAAATTCTTCCACAGTAGCAATTTAAAATTTTTTAATACAAGTCTGCAAACATTTTCATTTCCTAAATAATATAGCAATTTTCAAGGTCGGTAAAGGTCATATCGACCTGGAAATATTTTAGTTGATTTCTCCATCCTCGAATTCTATAGAATAAAGTATAATATCGCCCATGTTGAAAAAATCTAAAATTTAGGACATTTTTGTCCGCCATTTTGGAAAAAGGGAGGTATGGGGCTTCCTACGGGTCCACGAGGGTGGCTTATCGAGTCAAATCTCTTAAAATATCTTCTTTTATAACTATTCCAAATTTCATGCTTGTATCACAATTTGGCGTTTTTTTCCTCGAAGGAAATGGACTATAGCGAGTCACCGCCGGGTTGGTTTTAACTACAAGGTAAACGTGCCCAAATGGAATGTTCACTCTCTGGAAATATGCTTAACCCGGGGGTGACTTGATATTGAGAATTCAGTACTTCCTACCTGCAACTAACCATCTACTTTTGGGCTGGGGTGTAAAAAAAACTGTAAATAAGCACAAACCCATAAAATAAGCATAAAATTTGAAAAAAAAGCAATAAAAGCATTAAAAATAGTGCATTTTTGAGATTCTTTTTGTCTAATTCGTCAATATTTTGAGTTGTCTTATGGCGTTTCCGATTGGTAGATTCAGTGCGCACTGAGTATATTTGCATTCTTTTAATCGATCTGTAGAAGAAAAAGACCGAAATAGAAAAAATTGCACTAGTTCCGCACTAGATCTACCATCTACCAATCGGAAACGCCATTATATTTGCTTCTAATATTAACGAAAAGCATAATGCCTTGAAATTCGGACTCTACCAATAAGATAATGTTATGACAGCTGACTCAAACCACTTTATAGGACACAAATTAGCAGCATTTAACTCTTTAATACATTGTCTTTTCTCTATTTCGTTAATTCCATTTGGGTTCGAGAGGGAGATCAATGTTATTTACCAGATTGCAGTGAACAATGCTACAAGGTTTCATTGATTGATACCTAAATTAATTAGGAAAAAAACTACTAAGATTTTGACCGGTTTATTTTCGAGCACCCAGTCAATCAAGTCCAACCTTTCCAGCCACCAAGATATGTAACAATAAAATGCCTGGGATCGATCTCTGTACGGAGGACATTAGATGTGTGAATAGTATTAGGTCTTTGTTCTCTAGGCTAAAAGACCAAGTTAACACTTCAGATGAGAGTGATGTAGGTATATCTTTTGTCCTGTGAAGATTGCTCTGCAAGGTATGTAGGACAAACCGGTAGAAGTTTTAGAACGATAGTTAGAGAACATTTAAACTGCCTTAAATCGCCAAACGATAAGATATGCATGCATTTGAGAGAGATGGGACATTTTTTTGACATAAATAATAATTTTAAAATGCTACATAACATGAGTAAGGAAATAAGGATAGAAAATTCAATTTTGTTGAGAACATTGAGATAGCTGGTTTGGAAATTGATGATGATGTTGAGTCTTTGAATGAACCTGGTGGAGTCCACTACCGAGAGTCATCCAAAATTGCAACTTTATTTAATTAAATACCATTGCGTTCTTCTTAGGATCTTTGGGGTTTCATATTTATTCCAGATAGGTGACATTAGTAGTACGTTTAATTTTTTAAATATATGTAGTTTTTTTGAATTAATTTTATTTAATATTTGGATTAGTTACCACATTAACAACAAGACAATTTTGTTTTTTTCTGATTTTCGTATTTTATGACGTGTTTGTTTCCTGTTATGTGACTACATTTTTGTTCTTATGACTTAAGCTTTTATATTTTCAAGTAAGTGTATTTTAATTATTGATTTTATAAAAAATGTCTATCTGTTTTTATTTACACTTCCAGTCACCCTTGATAATGGTGTAACCCACTGAAACGCGACGGGTTTAATTGATTGATAAAATATATTGTGAAAACTAAAGGACTTTACTTTCGATCTACGATGAATGTACTTCACCCCGGACAAATCCTGGATTCTCCATTTCATTCTTCGCTTCCTATTCAGCTTCCTCCAAATCTCTTATTGAATGATGAATAATGGCAATTTTTCTCTTGGTCTCTAGCAGTAAAACATCTCCGAACGATTTTCATGCGATGTGATGCTTGCCAGAATACGAAATTTCGGATTTCAGTTAAGTAGAAATGATCGATCACTTCTCTTGAAATGATCGTTCGGTCGATCCCAAAATCGGCACTTGGGGTAAAATCCATTGATCATTTCCATAGTTTTCTATATGGACAAAATTTATTGGATAGAGCCGATTATTCTTCCTTGTTTTTAAAATCCGGATGATAAAATTTCTCGATAATTCAAGAAATTAGGTGAGACGTTACGGCATCCAAATCGCAAGGAAAAGTCGAGCCACTAACATTGTTAGCCTATTACAAAGACTGTATTATAGTATAGAAATTCTTGCAAATTTCGCCAAAGACAAGAAGAAGTGAAGTCTGCTCAAAATGCTGGTGTACCGAAACTGAGACACTTGCTCATAAAATATAACTAAAAACTAAAAAAGAACAAAATACTACAAGGATTCAGGAATAGGAAATAGTACCCAGCTGGCTAGTAAATGAGCAGCAACCTGGATAGCAAGAAGTTTATAGTTTTGGTCAAATGGTGAAGGAATACCTGCTTCAATGCTATCGTGCTACGGACCTTGGTGGACAGAGTGCTCCGGAAACTGCACCATAGTCGAAGCGGTGGACACTTCGAGTCTGCAACTGGACGCTGACTGGAGTAAGTGATCGGTATTACTGGATCAACTGTCGGGATATTGAATAGTGCAAGAGATGCAAATGCTGAGCTTCCAAAAAAGGATACGAGACGCCATCTTGCCTAGAAATGAAGCAATTCTTGTCTGGTTCCAGACACGAGCTACAAATGGAGCTTCATACCGGCCAGGGAAGGAATTTTCAGTCCGAAATACGAAAACAACTGAAGAGGTTAATGGGAACAAGAAAAACCAGAACAATTACCTACACTTCAGCCACAGTCCGATGAATTGGTCGAGAGCCACAATCGGGCCATCAATATTTCTTGATATTTGTGGATGGCTGGCGAGACTAAGTTTCTCTTTTTTTTTTTTAACTATGACTGGCAGGAAGTTTCCTATTTCGAACATAGTGCAAAAAGAGTTAGGGCGGGTATTATAAAACTACTTTGAGAGTTAACTTAAAGTTAACTTCTGAAAATTCATGTAATTCAAAAAGTTAACTGTCAAAGCAGTTTTATAATACCCGCCCTTAGTAAGTTAGCAAGAGACACGCAGCTATAGGTAGATCGCAAAGTGAATACGAATAATAAATACAAATAGGAACGAAACGAAACAAACGAGTAAATACAAAAAAATACGAACAAAAATTAGGGTTTTTTTCAACAAAAACTTTTTAAATTTTCAGTTTAACGCGCGTGGGGACCATGGTTCACAACAACACAATTTAAAAATTCAAATTTGGACTTTTAAAATGACAAAATAAATGACAAAACCAACCAACACAAATCACTGTCCACAGATACCTGTAAATTTCTCTTATCTCCAGACAGTGTCGCCATCGTTGAATGAAAACCTAACTAAAAATCTTTGTCGCGATTCTCCCATTTGAACACTCTAGTGAAATAGTCACCTCAAAACAATATTCTTCTTCTTCTTTAAGTGCCTTGTCCTCTTCGAACGTTGGCAATCATTAGCGCTATCTGCACTTTGTCGACCGCTTTTCTGAAGAGACTTGTCGTAGTCTCACCATACCATTCTCGCAAATTCTTTAGCCACGATATTCTTCCACGCCCGAGTGCTCTTCTGCCAATCGATCCTTCCTTCTATTATCAGTTTGAGAAGTCTGTATTTTTCGTTTCTGAGGATGTATTCCAAAGTATTCCAACTTTCGTTTTTTAAGTGTGAGCATGACTTCGCACTTTTAAAATTTAATTTTATATTAACCTTCCAACAGAATCACATCACGTTTTGTTCATGTCTGTTTTTTGGAAACTCGTGAAACAAAAAAAGTTAACAATAATATACTATATCATCACCAGGCATTCCTTCACAGATAGCCATATTTAGTTATCCAAAAATAAATTGAAACATTTTTCAGTTTTGACGATTGAGTGCAACATTGTGCGCCGTCTCGTATCAGCCAAAGCGAAGGAAGAGAGCTGGACCCCGTAATTTAAAAGATCGTGGTGTTAGAGTATCATTGAAAAGCTCCTAATGAAATTCAAATTGGTGCGATAAAACATATTAAGATCACCGACGTAGATTGAAAAGTAAATATTGCACATTTCCAAACTTTTCGGAATTGACACTTTTTCGTTTTTGAAATATCTAGGCACCTACTTCTTGAACATACATATATGGTGCCATTCAACATTAATCAATAAGATGATTCAAAAATAGAAAAAAAATTAATGCAAAATGGAGACTAACGACAATAGATACTGATCTGCTTTTTGGAGTTACGATGAAAAAGTTTAAATTCCTATTGTAGCCCTGGGGCCCGATTCTTGTCTCAGGAAGTAAAGCTTCCCAATAGAATGAATGTTTTATCCTTGTCAACGTAATCGAAAAGTGATCGAGAATGATAAAGACGAAAAATTTGTTTCTCTCGGGGAGCTCTACTTCCTGGCCCGAGAATCGGCCCCCTGACGCATTTAAAAATCGGGCATCATTATGTTAACCAAATTTAGATAAATCATCAAAAAGAATAGATCAAAAAGCTTGTGACTTTTATATCCTCTAATATAGAACATTTACCTCATCTGGTTTGACTGTAGTCATCTTCTTAGGATAGTAAGTGATCATTATTGGAGTTATAATGAGAGGTAATGCGACAATTTCTTTAGTCGTGGAGAAGACATCATTTGAAATGTCGCACTGAAGAAGCCATTTATTAGAAGTACTAAAATAAAAAATCGTTTTAGCAAATTTCAAATATAGTTATAAATCCTTGGTGGTAATTCTTACTTGTTGTTCACCATCACGGATTCCACAACTTGCTCTCGAACGTTACATTTCATTGTTACAGTAGAGGTAGGCTCCGGCATTCTTACAGAATTGCCTTTCATTGTTAGTGTTAATGTCTCCTTGAACTCTTTGATAATACACTTAGCCTGGTAAGGAGTTAAAAAGTAATATTGCTTTATATCATAGTGAAAAGTGGTATTACCTTGACTCTAAACTCGCACTTTTCCTGTTTAGGTGAAAATGTTATTTTTGTTTGTACCTCATTTTTGGGCAAAACAAATCCTTGTTTTGGTTCTATGACAAATAAATTTCGTTTATCATCAATTTGCCATTCAAAACTAAAAAAGTGACAGTGACCATCGGTAGTTTATTGAAATATTGAATTGTTTACCTCCCAGCCAGGTCTCCTGTATTTTTAACATTTATTAATTGACTCGAACTGTGTCCGCTTATGACTCCAATAAACGATGCTTCTTTTTTTTCGAGTGAAAATTTCGCTATTAAACTTGATCCTTTAATGATAAAAAAGGGCTTCATATAATCTTGGATTTCGAGGTAAATCTATGAAGTTAAAAAATGTATTTATCTATTTTAAACCAAGAAACACTTAAACAGTCCCTTACTTTCTCTTCAAAATTCATTTTGTTGTTGGGCTGAAATATTATGTTGAAATAGCGCTTTCCTTTTGGTGGAACATTTTTAAAATTATTTGGTTCAATCACAAAGCATTTTAAAAAATTCAATCTCGCTTCTTGAATTTTCTTTAGGTTTTCTTTTTCAAGATCTTCTATCTGTAATCTTTAACGATCTTGATAATAGCAAATTGTGATATAAATATAAAAATAGTAGGTACTTACTCAGCTTGTTTCAATAATTCTTCTTTCTTCTGTTTTCCCTTTTCACCGTTTTTGTCACCTATTGGTTTTTCTGCTTTTGTTTTAGGGTCTTGTAACTTACCTCTTTTCCCTATATTTTTCTGTTTGTCTCTAAAAATCGCGTTGTGGATAAATGTACGAAAAACTCGCGCTTCATAACAATTTGAATCTCGAATTAAATTTCACTTGATAAAATACAAAAGAAAGAGTTTTATGGTTATAACAGGAGTTAAGTCAGTAATAGGCGCTGACTAATCAATAAACTTGCTGTGGCGGAAAATATGGAAATTGTTTAGTGGACTGTATGATTTGAAAAAAATGGAAATAAATGTTTAAACCCGGTACGCACAGATCACTTACCTTTGAAAAGGTTTCTGTTGGTTCTCTGGGTACTGGTCCAAGCTGAAGCGTGTTGACTGTAGCAGAGTACTCTGTGGCAGAGTACTCTGTAGCTTCTTAGGACAGTAAAATAGGGGCAGTTTCGTTGTAGTGACCGAACCGTCCGATACGACACGAATTTGTACGGGTCGCGTAGCGAGAGTGTGGTCTACTCTGCGGCCGAGAATATATTATTTTTAAAATCTCAGACAAGGCAGCATAAAAATGCAGCTGCTTCCAGCAAGTGACGTGTGCGCATATGATAAACGAAAAGAGTCGCTAATGAAAAATATAGGCACAATCGAACTTTGTAGATTGCTCTACACAAACTAAAATGGGCAAAAAGTCCTTTTGAGAGTTTCCTAAACACTTGCTTACTGGGCTTTTCACCTTTATATAGGTAATTTCTTGACAATGTTAAGTCAGTCAGATGAATTTTATTGTAACGATTAAATTTTTAGAGTTAAATCTTGAATTTGTAATTTTTAATTCGGGAATAATTTTTTTACAAAAACGTTAACCCGGTCTACGACGTGTTAACTCAGGCACACTTTTTATACTCACCCTTCAGGTAGAGAAGCCGCGGGAATTTTCATATCAACTTGATCCAATTTTTCAATCTTCCTTTGATGCATTAACAAATTTTCATAGAAATTGAAATGTAAATCAACTTTTGCAGGTGAATTATTGAATACTCCAACATGATATTTTTTAACATTCCCCAACCTGACTTCGCCAAAATCAATAAATCTGTCTTTCAAATTGCACAGTTCTAAGTTTACTGTCACTGCTTCTCCAGATATTCCGATCATATTTTTTATACCGTCGATTAGGAATACGATTTTGGTTTTATAAGAACCAACTGTTTGTGGGAAAAAATTAATTGCAATTTGTCTAGTTTCCCCAGGTGGAACGTTACTTGAAGTAAATTCGACTGACAGAAAATTAGTTTTTTCAAAAAGGTTCTCAACCCTAGAAATTAATTGTAATAAGTACTGAAAAAAACTGTAACTACTTTTCTAAACTTACAGTATTGTTTTAACATCCAAATTTTTAAAGATTAGTAGGGTAGTATAGTAGTTAGTTTCTTTGCTTTGCTTTAAACAATACCCAAAATTGTAAGAATTAAAAGAAAACGAAAAAGATGGTTTGTCAGACACAGCATTGACTTGTATAATGTATTCAGGTCCGTACATAATCTAAGAGAGTAAAAAATTTGTAAAATATAAATATACACGTGAAAATCTACTTACTTGAAGTAAAATTTTGAAGTTCTTGAGTATTCCTGAGCCCACAGCATCGAAACTCAAATTCACTGTCGAAACTTTATTACTTTCAATTGATTCTTTTTGTTTATCGGTTGATATATTGAAAATGTGAGACACATAACTTGTGTCGAATTTCCATGCGTAGCTCATTCCGATTTCATTAGTATTTGCAATTTCGAATTTAACTATATCTTTGCGTCCTTTGTAAGTCTGAAGAAAAACATTGGTAAACATTTCAGAAACATAAATACATATTTTGAACTTACGCTGCCTAAATCCATTAGATTTACTTCATTCTCTTTCAAGATAACAATTTCTTCATTTTTAGTTGAATATTTCACCAATGGGATTAACCTTAGACTAGTAGCTGATACGACTAGGTTCAATGGTGATTTACGTTTTTCAATCATACATTTTATGTAAAAACTTGCGGATACGATGTTTGCTGTTGTAAAAGTACACCTAAAATCGAATAAGTTATGATGCACATGGATAATATAAAAATCGATGTGCACTATGGGTAATTGAACGAGTAGGTATATTTTTTCAATTACCAATAACTATTTGCCTGTTATACATTTCAAATTAATTTTTGGAGGGCTGATATGAGATAATATCCGTTCACAATCCGATGTCCACTGGTACCGGTCAAATTTATCACCTTTCAATGCTATTTGATAGGGAAAGGTGATAAATTTACCAGCACCTGTGGACATCGGATTGTGAACAGGATATAGTAACGGATCTTCAAAAAAAAAAACATCAAAGATGGCTATGATTTTTTAAACGCATGCCTTAGCAATATTTTTATTTAATTTTTTCTACAAACGTGTTAAAAATGCAATTATTAACACCCCCCCGAAGCATTAAAAATGTTACTTTATCGCACTAGTGCCATAAAGTCTTTATAGCACTAGTGTTAAAAATAAAACATCAAATTTTGAGAGCGAATGTCAAAAAAAGTTTGTATTTTTAGTTATTTACATTGATATTAATGGTAAAATTTGAACAACTGAGGTAGCCCGATTGGCCGCCTCATCTATATTTTTCAAGGGACTTATGCAACCCCCTTTTTCTTCTGTATTTTGTTGCATTTTAAGCAAAAATCATTACTGACCACGACCGACTTTCAAGAAACTGACAAGACATTTCATTACCTGTAAAACAAGGTGCTGGTTGTTTGGACTTTTTGACAAATGTCAAATTCAATAATTTTATGTAGGAAAGGTGCTTCCAATTTATTATTCATTTGAAAATCCAATTTATTACTTTTTATTGCTTTTTATTGCCGTTTGTAGAAAAAATATTGTATGATATTTGTGTTAAAAGTATTTTTAAGGCACTTATGTGAATTGCAGAATTCGCTTCGCTCATTCTGCAAACTTTCACATGCGTGCCTTAAAAATGTACTTTTAACACTTATATCATAAATAACTATTATCATTGATTTTTGTGTCAAAATGTCATGTCAAAAATCCTGACCTATAAAGAAACAATAATGCGTCGTACGTTTTCGTAATCAAAGCACTCTTCGATATGTTTTTTTTTTTAAGAACTGTTAGGCATTGCTAAAACGTAAAAACATTTCAAAAGTCGTCAGTGAACATAAAACTGCCGAGAAAGGACCCCGCACTAATCTTATAAAAATCGCTTTCGGTGAAATTGTCTTAAAGCTTGGATATGTTGTGTTCCTGGACATTCTTATCAGAAATTATAATTGGCACAAAAAAATCCAATAAGCCATTTAGGCGAGTTAAAAGATAACAGGTGCAGCACACTTCAACTTCTTGTCACTTTATTAGTGTTGTAACCCCTTTTGTTGATGAATTAACAAGAGCCCCATAATATGGTCAGTTTGCTCAGCGAATAAATCTTAGGGGTGGGTTGATAGTCTAATAAGTACAGAATGGCAAGGGCGCCACTGAATTTAAAAAAAAAATAAAAATTAAATTACATCAAATATTGGTGTGTGAAAATGCAGAAACTCACGTAAAAAAATTTATCATCAAACGGTAATCGGTAATTCTGAAAAGGAAATAAACAAGGCATGTAACTCAAGCAAATCTTGACACAGGTAAAACGTAAAACCAATAAAACTAATAAGTAAGCTTCAAACCAAATTGGTATATAATCCAGGTATTCTTTCGATCTGAACAAACTGATTGTGATCATATGAGGTTTGTTCATGAGGCGTCAAAAAAACAGCTGGGGCCAATGAAATCGTTGTAATACCGGATGAAAATTATTTGTGTAACAAACCTCAAGTGATTTCGATCAGTTTGTTCAGATCGAAAGAATACGTCTATTTCCACAGCGAGGTAAAAAATCAAGTATTGAATAATTTCGAAGTATGAAGTCAATTGCTGATAAAACGCTTCAAATAAAATCAATAAATAGAGGTTAACACACAATCAGTTTCATTAAATTAAAAAAAAAACAATATTACAATGTACCTCTACCTCAATAGGGAACTTGCAAGGGAAATAAAATTTTCCAAATTTGATTTAAATCGATAGTTTATACTGTAAAATATTCATATGACCAGTTTTCATTCAACTAATACCGCCCTTGTTACACAAAAAATAATAGTAAATTTGAAATAAAAAAATTCCCGCCAAAACAATCCTTCCATGATGGCCCCTTTTTTTTGACGGCACGATTCTGTAAACAAGCTTGTCAAGAGGAAACTTGCAAGTGAAATTTAATTCCAAAAGTAGTCCTATACAATATTCTTCATCCATCGCGACAATTTTCACAAAAAGAAAGCTTTTCCACTTTTAAATAACACAAAAATAGCACTGCGTCAGCAGGAGTTTGTTTGCTGCGTTTGTTGTTTACGAAATATTGATGTCACAAGTGCTGTCATATTGAAACCGGGCGTTTTCGCGCCAAAGTTTTTGATTTGAATTTCAATAATTTTTTTTTCGTACAAAGTATAAATTAAAATGGAAAAAAATTAAACCATGTAATATCTGATCGCTAGAAGTATCTAAAAAAAAAATAAATTGAGAAATATGAAAATTCCCTATTGGGGCCGTGCAAACCACGCGAGAGGACCAGTACAGCTATTCCGACGGACCCCCTTAAAGGGACGTCAAACATTTTTGAGTGTCACGTCAGACAATTTTAATCCAAAAGTCGTTAAAAAAGCACGCGCATAATTTTTTTTAGTGTATGGTTTATGAATGCAAGATCGATTTTGCTCCAAAATTACCCGTTTTGGGTTTTACAGCCTGTCAAAATCACAAAAAAGTTAATTTTCAACTGTCAATACATATTTCCTAAACAGTTGGGTAGGTATAAGAAAAAGTCATTAATTTGCCATTTTAACATTTAGAAGAGAAACTGTACAAAAAAAAACCGCTACACAGGTAAAGCCCCTGTGCAGTGGAAAGATGAAATGCCAATTTAAGTATAGTTCTGGGCAGAGTTCCCGAGAGGAAGTATGAGAGACCTTTTATCCCTTGTATACAACAGGGATCATCCGCTAATATACAAGTTATCCGTAAAAAGGCTCAATTAAGAAGGGATATAAAAGAAATCAGTGTGCGGACGAACACACCTAGGAATGCAATTATCCGAAGAATGGCTCTTTCCATTGAAATTACCGTTATTTCTCAAAGAATCACCCGACTCTAACTCCTCCATATCAAACCTGTGTCAATAAGGTGGTAGGCAGCAGCCTGTCCAATTATTGATTTCTCACAACGGACAAAAGAAATCACTTAAACAGAAGTCGGCACAGCTCTTATAGGTAATCGAGAAATAAGATAAAACAACCTCAGCAAACTATTGGACAAAAAATGAACCCTAAGGTAACCATATTGATACATGAACTGAGTTGCAGAAACTTATTTAAATCGGTTCGCTACTATGAGGGGAACAAAAACTCACTCCAGAGATAATTCCGTGTTAGAGCCAAGATACTGTTTTAAGTCTCTTATATAGGTCCGTGAAGTTGGCCCCTAAAGTGTTAAATTTTTTTTGGAAAAATATGTTGTTTGTTAGTGCTTCGTTAGTGCTTCTTAGTGCTTCAATTGTTTTCGTTAGTGCTTTTTTTGTTTTCTATATATCGATTTTTTTGTAGTTTCAAGGTCAGCCCTGACAATCTGTCAAAATGAACGAAATTTAATACTATGTTTTAGTGCTTCGTAAGTGCTTCTTAGTGCTTCAAATAGTTTCGAAAGTGCTTTTCTTATTTCTTAGATATTTTAGATTTTCACTTCAAGGTCAGCCCCCAAAAATTTTCCGAATTACCCAATTTTGGTGTCAGTTTTTAGTGCTTCGTTAGTGCTTCTCAGTGCTTCAAACAGTTGCATTCGAGAATATTTCCTTTTTGAGATATTTAACTTTAAATTTTCAAGGTCAGCCCTCAAATTATATGGGATTGAGTTAAATCTAGAGTCGTTTTTTTGCGCATCGATAGTGCTTTTCAGTGCTTCAGATAGTTTTCTTAATGCTCTTTCCGTATTCTGATTTTATTTTAAAATTACCACCCAAACTTGTTTCAAAATGTACAAAAAACACAGGGACGCCACCTCGGACGCCACTGGAGCCAACATTGGTTTATAGTATGGAGGAAATCTAAGGTGCCGGTGCGCTCTCTATCTCTCTCTTTTATGGTTATTTAGTTGTTTTGGAAAGGTCTATTTTAATTGGTCACTGTTTTAGCTGGCGCTATTTCGTTCGTTCAGACGCAGTTTTGACTGGCGCTTTTTTAGCACCGGAGCATCTCACTCCGGGGTAACTCGCCTTTGTTTTAAACAGAATGGCTCTGTCATTAAATAGCGCACAACGAGGAACCGCACTTTACAAGTTGGAAAATGGCATATTTTTAACTATCAGTAAGTCAGTATCAGTAAATTTGATAGCTGTGTCATATTCGATATATAATACGACTCGGCTGGGATCACGACGAGTAGAATTCTACTTTCATGACGTCATTCGCGACCTATTTATCGCGTACAGTACAGGCGATGATGATAGTTGCTAGGCAACCTGACGTCATGAAAGTAGAATTCTAGTAGAATTCTACTTGTCGTGATCCCAGCCCTGGGTTATATTCTGGCACAGCTTTTGACTGTAGACAACATAAGTAGGGGAGCTCCGAAAGAGAAATGGAGCTACTTATGGCAATTTACGCCGAAAACTCACGCACTGGAGGTCGTAGCTTAGAATAATTCAAATTTATGATAAAAAAATATTGTTTAATATTGATCAATATAATAGGCAAAGAGGAAGATGAAAACGAGATCTAAATAAAGGGTTGTTTTAGAATGTTAATTATTAATGTAGTAAAACCGTGAATAAAACCAAGTATGCATGAAGCCAAAGCCCGCGGAATCATAACCTGTAGTGCAAAAGACCTACGTCCATCCGAGGAAGGACATGCCTACGTCACAACTGGTGATTTGGTGTATCATCCTTGCTATGAACCGATGTTGGCTTCAGTGGCGTTCCTG